CTGTATTGTAATACAATTTCAAAGGTTTATTAATTACCTCTACCCCAAGCACTCTATAATATTTACTGTATTACAAGTTACAGGGTATGGGGTTTGTTAAATAACTATACAGTACATTATGCTATAACACCATACATTACAGTATAACTATGTCATATATTACATTGTCTTCGTCTATACCCTATACAAAGGTCGTCTCGTACTTACGATATCTTCGCCTTACGATGTGATTATCGGAACATAACCCCATCGTAAGTCAGCGACTGTCCGTATACAAAGATCAGCGATGTTATGAGCCATATTCTGTTTGAGTCATATCTGCTGCGTATATGTTTTGGACAGTCTTGCCTATTTCAGAGAAATTGCTTAATTTAAGAAGGGACACCATACGATATAATGCAAGTCATTCCGTCTCTATAGGAAAACCGTATTAACATTCTAAGCATATGTCGGTGATCTATATTAGAACAGAGAGATAAAAAAATTCCATAATAATTTCAAAAGTTTATAACCTTGTAATGTCAGCCGTCCTTAAGCCACTATGACGGGCGCTATTTTAGAGCACCGTTCTCTCAAAGAACCCCTGGTTTCGCTGATTTTCGAGCCAATATCATCCGCTTAGAGCACATTAGCAAACATCTACAGCTATGTGGTCATTATATTTGCTTCCTTTAATTCAAATCTACCTCGGTAGCAGAAACGCACGTGTCAGTCGGAATTCGAACCAAAAATCTTGTACCTCAATTATCTTAACCAAGACATAGCAACCATCGACTTAAACTCTCCAATAAAAGTATCCTTGCAATTTTAGAATTCCTACTCAAAAATACAAAATCCGCAGTCAACGAGTTCGTAAATATATTTTATTTGGCATTTTTAACGTAATAATATACCAACTATTTTGACCAAACATTTGCTAATTAAACTGATTCAATGAAACGAATTTAAAAATCATTTTTGGATAAAATACAAGCGTTTAATGTGTGTAAAAGCAATGAGTGTGATTGCTGTGATAATCACTTTAAACGTTTGCATAAGAGAACGTCTCGAGTTGCGATATTCTCCTACGATAGCCGAAACATAGCAGATGTCGACCAGGAGGACAACATGCAAGAAGGATCAGCAAAATAGCGACGTATCTGCCTTCGGTAAGGAACTAGTGCTTCTACGATGCGGTAACCGGTGCCTTATAGCAGAAGTTTTGAAAAGTTGTGAATTCAGCGGTAATTACAAGTCAGAGACATTCTACCAAAGTGAACAGCTCAAGGTGATGATTTAGATAAACACAACACAAGTTAGTGACAACAGAACCAACAGAAGTTATGAATGGATACAAAAGCTGTGATAATACAACGATATAAAAGCATAAGAAGCATGTCTTAATGTATTATTTACCTGTAGGCCTTTACATATAGTATCTGATGATTAACCTGAGCGACTAAGCTGGAGTCTTCAGCAAGCAGAGGCAGCGACTGCAATTCAGAGAACGTCTATAACACGCAAAAAATTAATCTAACTGAAGATAAAGTTTTAAAACTCGAAGCAAACAACAAGAAGCCGGCAAAAAACAAATTTACAACCTTTCGCTCACTGGTACGAAGCACAATAAAAAGTTGAAAAAAAATAGAGCACCAATCTAATAACAAAGCAAATAAAGAGAACAATGGTCAACTGCCACAGCAAATGTTGCTACTATTATCATATAAGGAGAGGAAACTCTGAATAGGATTGTGAAGCTGGTGACGTAATGATATACAATCTGTTTGAAAGGGTGTCTTATAGTCGCCATCGTCAAGCTTGAAGCAAACGTCATATTCACCGTCACAAGCAGACGTCTTTTAAAATAAATGTTGCCCTTTTGAAAATGTCCCCCAACGCGTTAGTGACCATAGCCTGATTTTAAAAGCGACGTTTGATGAAGAATCTATATTTTTCTTATACAACTCTGGCAATGACCCGGGCATGGCATATATCATTACAGAAAAAATGGTGGTGTTTATACAGGGTAGATTGGAAAACAAGAATAGAAAAAAGATAAAACTTTATTTTCGATTGAGAGATATATGCTCAGTATGAATAGACAAGAAGTCACTCTAGTCACAGCCACAGAAACAGTTAGGCAATGGATTGAAGAAATGAAGTAAACTAATAGTCACAACAGCGAAATACACTAAACCCCTCAATATACGCTCGATGGTTTGCAAGGGACGAACCTGCCATGGACAACTTTCAAAATCACAAACTGCGAATATAAAAAACGTCATATCAGTACCTGCAAAACTGAATCACACAAACGGACCAGATCCTGTGCCTTCGACCCTTTCTGCTTCATGTCCTGCACCATAAGCCAGTAGAGCTCAATCGTCTTTGTAAGCCGCAAGTAAACCAAGTACAAGTAAACCAACTGCGTGTTCGTGAAATTTTCCTCGCCTTCATCAGCGAGCGATCTTATGTTCAGGTTCTAAACGACCTTCATAACTGCATGGAATAAGTACAATGCATTCAATGACAGTATTATGCAGCCTGTCTGTGAGTGAGTCTTTCTGTCACCGTTTATATCTGCGCATTGTGGGTCTAAAGAATAATTCAAAGTCAACTATGACACTGCTCCACTAGGACAGATTCAGCTGGTAAGACTTGAATGAAAGGCCCAAAAATGTCGTTTATATGAGCCTCTTTAGCCAACGTTATTTTTTCATGACAGCATCTTGCAATGTATTCAAATCCAGCCTCAACGACTTTACAGTTTGGCTGGATTTATGGCATGTAGGCCATATTTGATATTATATTTACTATACATAAAAATATGTTATAGATATACACATTTAGTATGATATTACAATAGCAAAACATGCTCACTTCACTCTTGCTATCATCGCGTACAGCTTGAATAGCGTCACGACAGTCCATCAGCAGCTTTTCATACATAGATATCTAAAAAAATCATCAGTCAAGAATGTAACTGAAACAAAGACATAAATATATTGTGGCGGTATCAATAACTAGCAATATGCTAGCAAACCCATAAGATCAGGATTCATTCTTCTGTAAAAATACCCCTACTGATCGTGGCATTTCTGCAGGTGCCTTAACAGGCCTTCGTTTGGCCTTGCTTAGTGATGCGGTTCTGCATCCATGCACTGCAGGTACTCAAGTACCATGGAGCCATGGCCTGCTTAAATGATCCCCTAGGCTACTAGAAGCAAATGGACGGTGCTTACGCACTTCAATTACGTATCAAAAACAGAAATGAACAAAGACAGAAATGTTCACAAAATTAAGCGAAGCGATACAAAAAAGCGAACGGTCATTTAACCAAACGCGATAGAAAGAACGATCAAAAGCATAGGCGTATGAATCCTGTTTTAGTTTTTTATCATATAAACTTCCTTTAATTAGAGAAAAGTTAGCTTGGTTTGCTGTAGTGGCTTCACAACAGGTGTGGTTTACAACAGCCAAGAGCAACAATCAACTTCAGTCTGCCACAAAGATTCGTGAGGTTTAAAGCATAACGATGGTCATGGTTGTACACTTTCAAGGACCTGCCTTACTCCACTTCTTTCCGAAGCATTTTCTTCGATGGATGATCGCTTTAAGTACCCAGTCAATTTTCTTTACATTAGTCAAGCGTTCTTCCCATATCGCAGAAACTCTGTGCTATTCGTTATAACACAATTGGATTTTATTCCCTTCTTTTTTCATTGGCATTAACAGTTTATTACTAGGGCATTTATTACGACGGTATTTCGTGCGAACGTGTGTGGCGGGGTGTCACAGTGTGTAAAAGCTCGGCCTCCAACGTCTGAGGTACCGGGTTCGATTCTGATCGACAGTATTTTTTGCCATAAGCAAGAATTATTTCTGGCAAGGATATGATATATGAGCATTCAATATGGCGGGGGGGCTGCTTTCGGCAGGTCATCTTTAGCTACCGTGCCTATTACTACCGTAAAAGCTGATATTTGATAGACACCCGTCATAAAAGAAAATTTTTCTGGTTCACAACACGCGTTTCTAACTGTACTTATTAAGAATCTTACACGCCTTGAAAGGGCTAAACATATTGTATAGGAATTTCCGCCCTTACTTTGTTTAACTATATAACTTAACTATAGTCTTTTTTGGTACTCTGTCATATGCATTTTCAAAGCATGGAAAGATCAAGTACGTATGCGACTTATACTCCATAAGTCGCTATAGCCGATCGAAACACACTGTACAATATCGAGTTAAATAAACCACTATACTTGGTTGCAAACTCAATAGAATTGATCACAATAAACAAACTGGCCCTTTACCTTCGCTGGAATGCTGAGAGTCGAAGAAACCTGTTCAGGAAACTGTTGTAGAATGATGCAGAAGCTTTTCGTCTGAGGAGGCTTTTCGAGAACAATCTTCCGTCTACACCAAACAGTTTCCATTTCAACTACAGACTGTTTCTGGCGACATTCTGTGAGCAGTCTCTGAACAGTGTCACTTTAGCCATACAGACAGAGAAAGCATCAGTACTGAAAGTGCGACATACGTCCAAATCACTCAGAAGAGGATTTTCCTGCTCCTCAATGATCTTCATCCTCATCTCCATCAGTTCGGAAAGAGCAGATTCGTCCCCGATGTTGAACGCACAATAGCGAAGTTGTGGAACCACTTCCTGGCATCGCTGCTGATACAAGTTGGACATTTTGGCTGATTCCGTTACAGCAGATAGCTTTTCGTATATTGTCCTTAAATAACATATTATATAAAATCCATGTGCGTATGATCCATAGGAACAGAAGCAACAGAACTGCCAATGAATCATTTTTTGGTAAAGAAAATAAAAGCACGCATGCAATAATTAATCAAACAGATTTACTTACACAAAATAAAGCATGAAATTTTATCGCAACATATATTACTGATTGAATAACATAGTCAGAAAGTGCAGACACGCCAAAAAATGAGTTTGGTGTATGACTTAAAGCATAACTTTTGTCCATTGAATGTTGTAACACCGTCCTCAGAATTCAGCAGTGGAAGACACGCTAGTTTTGATGATTACAAAGCCAAACAGAGACAATGTTGCATCAGCCTTGTCGAACAATAATTTCTCATGCTCACTGTCTGAATCTCATCAGGTTTATTCTAATTAGCCTTCAAATAAGAACATTGTACAATCCTCGCCTAAGCGTAATTAAGTGTTTATCATCGTACGGCTGGATGTGGTACGCAAAGTTATATGGAAACGGTTAGTTGTTATGAGGCACGGTCATTTTCTGAGCAAGGTAATCGCCTCCGATGGTAGAATCCCACATATCAGGTCACAACTTAAATTATGGCTATATACCTGGATATTTAAATAGACATAGATATTTAGCTCTAGGGCATAACTCTAATGATTTGTATTCAACAAACTCTTACCTCCTTATTGTTCACCCTTATGTGTTTTCTTCCATTATTTTACGTTGCCATACTCTTGATCCCCATCTTTATGTATTTTAAATTCCTAAATCAATAGTATGTGCTTTTGACAGTCAATAATTTGCTAAACAGATGACGGTGTTGAAATATTCCGTAATCACAACTAGCATTAATGGAGTGAATATTGAATAAATGGAGCGATAAAAATGGCAATGAGGATGGTGAATTTAATTCAAAATTACACAGAATCTCAAATGAGCATTTTATTCGTCGTATTCTGGCCTTATTCCATGAAACTTTCATTAATCCTTTCAACTCTTTATCTCTCATAATCCACAAATCCATGAAACTGAAGGACTGATAGCATTAAAGGGACAACAGAGAAGCGGGGAGTGACAGACAACGATAGCATGGAACACAAGGACCCAGCTGCTTTTGAGAAAGATAGAAACGAATGACCTAATGACCAGGGGGTGAAAAAAGGAACCATTAAAGACAAATATTGTCTTAGGTACTCGTCCAAAAATCTGAACGATAGTCAGCGCGTAGACAAAGATAGCGATAAGAGCTAAAAACAGACTGCGTGATCATATTTAGTAATTTGCTAGTGCACATTTCTTCTCGTACACTTGGTTAAGTAAAGTGATTTCGGTTTACCATAGTAATTTGAACAAACTG